AAGCGACGTTAGTAACTACAGACCCATCTCGAAGCTAACTTCCGTATCAAAACTGTTTGAATGCATTATTAAAAGGAAACTGCTCTTCAATATTAAGAACTACATTTGTCTGAACCAACACGGTTTTGTTCCAGGCGGGTCTACGACGACCAACCTTGCAGTATTTTCTGACTGTTTAAATGCCTGCCAAAATGGCTACCAAGTGGATACAATCTATACGGATTTCTCCAAAGCATTTGATAGGATATCCCACAAGATATTAGTTGCTAAACTTTCACAACTAGGCTTTCATTCTGTTCTTCTTCGGTGGATCAAGTCTTATTAAGCTGAAAGGAAGAGTTTCGTTTTTCTAGATGGAGTTTCTTCCAAAACATTCACCCCTACTTCCGGGATACCGCAAGGAAGCATCTTGGGTCCTTTGTTTTTCATTTTATTCATAAACGACATCGGGTTATGCTTTTCAACTGCTAAGTTTCTGTTGTACGCTAACGACTTAAAAATTTATTCAGTGATACAAAGCCCTAGTGACTGGTGTTCAAAAAAATCGATTATGTCTTAATATAAGAAAATTTTCGGGATCCGTACACTTTTAAGACCTTATATTCTGCTTTTATGCGATCTAAGTTAGAGTATGGCGCATTTATTTGGAATCCATACCAGCAAATTCATATAAGTCGTTTGGAGTCTGTGCAAAAGGTTTTTATACGCTATGCCCTGCAATCATTAAATTTTTCTGAACAAAAACCTTCTTACTTCTCTCGATGTCAACTAATTAACTTGATGACACTTCGTAATAGAAGATTAGCTCTCGCAATGTGTTTTATGCTCGACATCATTTCCGGCAAAACTGATTGTCCTGCCTTGCTCGGAAGAGTTTATTTTAATATTCGGAGTAGAAATCTACGAAGCACTGATATTATTTAACATTAGCTTTAGTAAAACAGTTTATAGCATGAACGCACCGATCAGAAGAACACTGGCCGAATTAAACCTTATCTCAAGTTCTGTAGATTTAGACCTTTCTTTAACAAGGACTACGCCCCGGAATATTATCTTTTCTCAGTTTTGTTATAATCCAGCTTGATTGGGTTATCAAGCACACGCTTTTTAAACAATTTTTAATTTTCATTTCAATGTATGCAGTTTTCATAGTCTGTAATGAACACTAGTTCTTAGACTTATGTATAACTAATTAAATGAATACTAATTGCACCTATTACAATGGTTACAATTACACNACAACTAGGCTTTCATTCTGTTCTTCTTCGGTGGATCAAGTCTTATTAAGCTGAAAGGAAGAGTTTCGTTTTTCTAGATGGAGTTTCTTCCAAAACATTCACCCCTACTTCCGGGATACCGCAAGGAAGCATCTTGGGTCCTTTGTTTTTCATTTTATTCATAAACGACATCGGGTTATGCTTTTCAACTGCTAAGTTTCTGTTGTACGCTAACGACTTAAAAATTTATTCAGTGATACAAAGCCCTAGTGACTGGTGTTCAAAAAAATCGATTATGTCTTAATATAAGAAAATTTTCGGGATCCGTACACTTTTAAGACCTTATATTCTGCTTTTATGTGATCTAAGTTAGAGTATGGCGCATTTATTTGGAATCCATACCAGCAAATTCATATAAGTCGTTTGGAGTCTGTGCAAAAGGTTTTTATACGCTATGCCCTGCAATCATTAAATTTTTCTGAACAAAAACCTTCTTACTTCTCTCGATGTCAACTAATTAACTTGATGACACTTCGTAATAGAAGATTAGCTCTCGCAATGTGTTTTATGCTCGACATCATTTCCGGCAAAACTGATTGTCCTGCCTTGCTCGGAAGAGTTTATTTTAATATTCGGAGTAGAAATCTACGAAGCACTGATATTATTTAACATTAGCTTTAGTAAAACAGTTTATAGCATGAACGCACCGATCAGAAGAACACTGGCCGAATTAAACCTTATCTCAAGTTCTGTAGATTTAGACCTTTCTTTAACAAGGACTACGCCCCGGAATATTATCTTTTCTCAGTTTTGTTATAATCCAGCTTGATTGGGTTATCAAGCACACGCTTTTTAAACAATTTTTAATTTTCATTTCAATGTATGCAGTTTTCATAGTCTGTAATGAACACTAGTTCTTAGACTTATGTATAACTAATTAAATGAATACTAATTGCACCTATTACAATGGTTACAATTACACTATGCGACAGTCAAAATCGGGATGGGATGAAACCAACGGGAAATGTTATATCGGTCAAAAACAAGTTATACGTGTCCCAGCGTTTCGCTGGGTCACGTCTAGGAATCGAGATATATATATAACTATCATATAGGGGAAATTGTCACCTTTGGTGGTCTTTTTTTGACATAACTCGAGAACCACTAGTCCGAT